TAAGTTTGACCCATTGAACTGCTCACATCAGACTTCAGGGAGCTTTTCAGCTTAAGCGCTCTTCTCGGTAATAAAAATAAATTGTTAAGTCTGTTGTGCGTGTCTCCTATTGCTGCTCGACTGTCGCCTAAAAGTATTCTCTCCTTCTAGAGCCAGTTGCATTTTGATTATGTAATAAAATGTTGCATCCCTTCACACAACAGCCCTGTAGGACACAAGTCCTGTGTACCGTTACGGTTTGAACAAATGTTCAACACACACACACACACACACAATTGACCTATGAACAACCCTGGGTCCAAGTTAACCCTTTCACACCAACTGTGTGTTCATCTGTATAAATGAAATTGTTGGGCAATTTTTAGTCAGACATTTCACAAAACGGCTCCTGAAGATTTTTTTATCTTAAATTGGAAACCAGATATTAAACATGTGACCAAACAGAGCGGGTAACTTGAGGCGTCCCGCGACACATTCCCTCTTGGGCGTTAACATTTGAAAGTGTTACGGGTGTAGTTAGGACCCATGAACAGTACGACAAGACCCGGACTGATTTGATTCTAGTTCTTTATTAGCAACGCACGACAGGCAGAATCCACGACAGGTTTCTCGGGGTCAAGGACAGAAGGGCTGAGTAAGTTTCCAGAGCAGGGGCAAGGCGAGGTATTCCGGGACAGGCAGGGTCGGCAACAGGGAATCAGTCCATGGGTGAGTGCGGGAAAGTTGAGCATGAAAGCAACGAACGATCTGGCAGTGAGTGTGTGTGACGCAGGGGTTTAAATAGTGAAGAGGCAGAGTGAGCAGGTGAGAGTGATGAGGCGAGTGTGACTGGCAGGTGCACTGAATGAACTGATTAGGTGAGTGAAATGAGGAAAAGGCTAGATAGAAGTAACCGAGCTGTGACAGAAAGAAGTATTTCCTAAGGCCATCTACCTTTGATTCAAACTGATGTTCAAGATCTTTCAAAATGACAATTATCGCATCAGTTTAACAAATGTATTCCAGTATTTCTAATGTTTGTCGTTGAAGTGGATGGAACAAAGAAAGGAGAGGAGACCGTTCTACAGCTCGCTGCGCTCCATCTTCTCTTTGTATTCTCGGAGCTTCTCCGGGAGAGTCTGAGTCATGAAGACAAACTTGTCCTTCTTCAGGTGCCGACCAGTTACCTGCTCCTCCGCATCAATTGACAAGTAGTATTCTTCTGCTCCATACTGTGGCCAGTGGACAAGGCCGTCACCATTAGGAGACCTACATGTGCAAGCGTGCACAAAGTTAAAACAAGTCTCATCTCATGTGCATTAGAACTTGTAATGAAGGTGAATTCCTACCCTGTGCGAGCAAAGTTCCCCCAGTAGCTCATCATGATTCTGCTCAACCGTTCGTCGCTTTCAGTGCATGGCACTAAAATAATAATATTTGGTAAAACACTTTGCACTCAGAGAAAACCCCCGGTCTCTGGTGGTCCATCGATAAAGCAATTTCTACATTTACTTACCGGCTAATGTGACATGGGAAGTTGTGAAGCACCATCCAAATACTGAAAAAAGTTCATCTCCATGGTCACTGCCAACGAAGCTTGGCCTTCTATCCAGCAGGAATTTGGGAGAATGCTGGTACTCGTACAGGTACACAGGGGCACCGGCATCTAGTAGCAGAGGAATGGGTGTGAGACATCTCGTTTAGGTGTGTGACAGTAAATTATCTTGAGTAAATAAAATACCTGTGTGGGCTTTAGCAGTCTTAATGGCTGGAATGGTGAACAGCATATCGCCTAACATCTTAGTGAACCCATCTCTATTTTTCACACGATCTTCGCCTCTTCCAACATATTCATCTACCAGCAACTCTCTGATGATCTCGTCTTTGGGCTTGAGAAAAAAGGAGTACCACATCCGTCAGAGAAGTTTGAGCACGATAGAGCAAAGCAATATTGTAATGTCGAACACCGCTTGCCTTACATCAGGGAAGAAGAGGTACAGCACGTTCATGATGTGCTCCCGATCCATTCCCTCCATCCAGTTTGGAGGAGCAAAGAACTAAAGGGAAGACAAAACATTTCAGACGTGCATCATAGCAAAATGAAATCATGTTTCCATGGGCTCGTCTGGAAATCGGTTAGCTCATCAGTCACACAAATACAAGTAGCATTCAGACTTACGTCAGGAAGCATGTAGCCCGCTTCATCATTAGTGACGCCGGTCATGAACGGTATTGTGAGTAGTTCACGTGTATGGTACAGCTCACTCACAGGTTTTGTCAGGAAGACTCCATCAATATTTAAAGAAGTTATCAATTTGTCATCCTTGAAAGAATAAAAAGGTGCGAAAGAGAAAGTTGAGATAAATATGTATAAGTACAATAAACATAAATAGGCAGATTCCATCAAGTCAGTCTATAGATCAGTTTCGCAAACAATATCTCACATGCGCAGTCGCCAGAATTATGTCAAGATCGAGGTTTCTCATGCAATCAGCGATCTTCTCTGTGCTTTCGTGGCTACAGCCGGTTCCATTTGCTAGCACCTGAGGGGCGATATGTGGGATTCATCTCAAATGTACTGAAATGCACCGAATAATGTTTACAAACCAAAATAAACACTCTGCTAATTAACCTTCGTCACTGAGAGGGGATCAGTTGTGAGGAATATATCCATTGCAGAAGTGCCACTTTCAGCAATGGCATGGTGGAACAGGCCATCAGACAATGGCGAGAGAAGCTGTTGATTCAAGCAACAGAAACAAATAAAAAGGTCCTGTGGACACTAGACACTGTGCAGTTTCATAACTGTGCAATGCTTTCAAAGACAAATCCATTTCTTTAAAGTGCTTCATCTGCAGATTGATCCTTACCAGGAGGGATACACTTATGCCACCAGCAGACTCCCCAAATATGGTGACTAAATCTGGGTTTCCACCAAAGTTATGAATGTGCTGCTGGATCCACCTCAGAGCTTGCACCTGGTCCAACAGTCCAAAGTTCCCCGACAAGTGCTCATCTCCAGTGCTGGATAGAGCATACAGTTATAGTCCACACCCGCTGGTAAGAGTGACCCAGTTTTGACTTATTGTTCACGTGTGGCACAGATCAGATCAAAAGCATTAGAATATAATAATAACATGTCCGGTCTACCTGTGCTTAGTAAGTTAAGTCGTTTTTACCTGAGAAAGCCCAGAACTCCCAAGCGGTACTGGATCAGAACCACAACCACGTCCTGGTAAGCAGCCAGGGCGGAGCCATCAAACATTGAAGCTGACCCCATGGAGAACCCTCCACCATGGATCCAGACCATGACCTGGTAAGGCAATAAAAAAAGACGCTGTTTTCCACAGAACATAATGCACATTTTTACTTTTTTCTATCCGATCACAATCAAACAAAGACTTTAATCCGACTAAAACACAAGACTGATGTAATCAGCGTCAGTCTCTTTGTAGTCTGGTTCTAAATATGGGCATCATTACTCATATTGCCATTGTGGATTCTTCTAAAAGCAATCACGCCAACTCCTCCATGAACACCATCGAAAGTCATCCAAAGCATCATTTGAACTTACTGGGAGCTTGGCACTGAGAGCTTTCTTTGCAGGAATGTAAATGTTGAGGTAAAGGCAGTCCTCTGAAATGTCTGGAACAGCAAGCAACATGCCACCGAGTTTATCAAGCAGATCTATAAGTAGCTGTTTGTCTTGAACACACCTGAAAAAGAGAGGATTTTTTTTACAGAGAGAAGTTGACGCAAGTTCTCCAAGTGTGTTATGCAACAACGGATGCACACGAAGGCCTTACATGGCTGGCTGCTGGGTGGCGTCTCTCACTCCTTGCCAGCCCTCTACAGGCTGGGGTGCAGACAGTCTCAGAGCAGGGCCTACGGGGGGCTTGGCAAATGGGATGCCCAGGTAGGCATGGACCCCGGTCTCCTTCCCCTTCACGCTCACATACTGGCCTCTGAGTGCCCCGAGCTTCGTGTGCACTTCTGGAGCTGTCAGGATATTAGGGACGAGTCCAAATCATAATCAAAATAATTTATCAGTTTGAGTTCCCAGGAAAAATGTGTCAAAGTAACAAATATATATTCTTCATGTGTGGTTGTTGGTTGAGTTCTAGCTTTTGTTGCAACTGACAAGTGTGATAATTGTTACACATTTACCTCGAAATATAGATTTGAAAATACTGTAATTCATTTCTTCACTCGGGCGGTTTTACAGCATTGTGTAGCATTTGTTTTTACACCCACTATCATTCCCAGTGCGATCCCAAGGCGAGGTCACCAAAGAAATGATTAGCCAGAGTTGAAGTCGGTGAAAGGCGTCTCACCTTTGGACGCACTCATCACCGGGAATATGAAGGTGAAAGATTACTGCGATCGAGGTGCGATGGAATTGCAAGCAAGTGGCATCAAGGAACAACAGATTCAGATTCATTCCGATGAGAAATACATTCGAAGAGGATATGATATATTATTATGTAACTTCAGCGAACTTTTTCTATTCAGATTTAAAGAGCAGTCAGATGCATGCTGGTCGTCGTTACTGTGCAAATAAACGACTTTTCTCCTTCTTACCATGTAGGTCAGCAGCGACATGGAGAAATAACACAGACGTCAGAAAGAGGAACGTTTGTTTGGCACGGAAGGTCATGGTAGTCGCCTCGGTGTCCGGATTGCGACTCGGCTGAAAGAGAAAATGACACCTCCCACGAAGCTTTCCGTTTTAAACGTGACCCACGTTCCGCAAGTAATCAAACGCGCAAGATAACACGTGACTCCGTGAGTTTTAGACCACAGCAAAGGGCTCACATTACCGGAAAGTAGACCACTCTTGATCACCATAACGTTAGCAGCTGGGGCGGTGTATCCTGTTATTGAGAACCGTAGCTGTGCAGAGTACCAGCAGTGAACATAAGTGTTGCACCAGACCGGAGGAACCAAGAGATCCACAAGTAGTGTGGAGAAGAGTTACATGATTGACTTGGCATCGCCTGTACACCATACGCCAAGTCTCATTCATTAAGTCAATGTAACCGAGTTAATTGTTGGTTGTGACAGCCAATCACCTATACCCACAAATCAACCAAGATATGTCCGTTGTGGCCAATCAGCGCTCGTATCGCAACCAAGAATTAATCAAGAATTGACCAATCAACGTTTTCGGGCTCACAGAAATGTGGGATCGATGAAAAAAAACAATTGTCAAAGGGCACACTTATGTGCACGAATAAGTAGTTCCGGGTCTGGTCCTCTGACCAGAGAAACCAAAATATCCACAACTAGTGTGGAGAAGAGTTACATGATTAACTTGGCTGCACCTATCAATGTACACCTGTATGTCTCATTCATTGTCTCCTTAGGGCCTGATGGGGTTGCTCAGTAGCTTTCTTACTCCAAGTGCACTTTTCTGGGCAGTATAGTGAATAATTTAAAACCACTGGCCAGCACTTTTATAATCAAACTGCACCTTTACTAACATTTGCACACAAAAAAAAAGTCTGCTAAAGCACTATCAACGTTTTATTATTTTAATTTCCTCTTAATAGTATAATTGTTTTATACATTCCGTCTGTAAGCCCTCGGTACCCAGCTATTTGAATTTGCCTTCGGAAAAGGAATTGTTGCTTTCTACCATCGTCAATGAGAGGCGCCTGAATTTGTGGGAAATTAATTAAGTTTGACCCATTGAACTGCTCACATCAGACTTCAGGGAGCTTTTCAGCTTAAGCGCTCTTCTCGGTAATAAAAATAAATTGTTAAGTCTGTTGTGCGTGTCTCCTATTGCTGCTCGACTGTCGCCTAAAAGTATTCTCTCCTTCTAGAGCCAGTTGCATTTTGATTATGTAATAAAATGTTGCATCCCTTCACACAACAGCCCTGTAGGACACAAGTCCTGTGTACCGTTACGGTTTGAACAAATGTTCAACACACACACACACACACACAATTGACCTATGAACAACCCTGGGTCCAAGTTAACCCTTTCACACCAACTGTGTGTTCATCTGTATAAATGAAATTGTTGGGCAATTTTTAGTCAGACATTTCACAAAACGGCTCCTGAAGATTTTTTTATCTTAAATTGGAAACCAGATATTAAACATGTGACCAAACAGAGCGGGTAACTTGAGGCGTCCCGCGACACATTCCCTCTTGGGCGTTAACATTTGAAAGTGTTACGGGTGTAGTTAGGACCCATGAACAGTACGACAAGACCCGGACTGATTTGATTCTAGTTCTTTATTAGCAACGCACGACAGGCAGAATCCACGACAGGTTTCTCGGGGTCAAGGACAGAAGGGCTGAGTAAGTTTCCAGAGCAGGGGCAAGGCGAGGTATTCCGGGACAGGCAGGGTCGGCAACAGGGAATCAGTCCATGGGTGAGTGCGGGAAAGTTGAGCATGAAAGCAACGAACGATCTGGCAGTGAGTGTGTGTGACGCAGGGGTTTAAATAGTGAAGAGGCAGAGTGAGCAGGTGAGAGTGATGAGGCGAGTGTGACTGGCAGGTGCACTGAATGAACTGATTAGGTGAGTGAAATGAGGAAAAGGCTAGATAGAAGTAACCGAGCTGTGACAGAAAGAAGTATTTCCTAAGGCCATCTACCTTTGATTCAAACTGATGTTCAAGATCTTTCAAAATGACAATTATCGCATCAGTTTAACAAATGTATTCCAGTATTTCTAATGTTTGTCGTTGAAGTGGATGGAACAAAGAAAGGAGAGGAGACCGTTCTACAGCTCGCTGCGCTCCATCTTCTCTTTGTATTCTCGGAGCTTCTCCGGGAGAGTCTGAGTCATGAAGACAAACTTGTCCTTCTTCAGGTGCCGACCAGTTACCTGCTCCTC